AAGGGTGAAAAAAACATTCAGGTGTCATGTCTATCTGATACCCTGTCATTTCAAAGTGATGTGCTTTAAAATTGCACTTTTTTGAGAATTATTGTTCGCCTTTGTGTGAGCCATCATACGTGTTGGTATGCAAAAAAAAAACGGAATTGTTGTGCTCGTTTCGACATTCTTCTGGAAATATTACGTACATTTAGGGGCCTATGTGGCAATGACATAGAATGGATTGTTGCACAAAACTCTCTTTATTGGAATCCCCCAGTAAAATTGCAACAACTGCGAAATAATATACCTTTAAAAAAATATTCTAAAGGCTTGATTAGTAGGCAAGCAGCCTTCCTGGCATGCTCAAGGCTTTTTGTCTGCCAATAACGGGTTTGAAACAAATTAGGCATAGCCTGCCATTCTCTAACAACTTTAACAAAAGCTGCATAATCAGTCACTATAGCAGATGCTTGGCATGTGTTCAGGTGCAACAACTCATGCAAGAATTGCTGCCAAACTGGTCTCATCATTCCACAGGATGCAGCAGTATTTTTTTTTGAAGAGGAGTCTGGAAAATGTGAACGCTTACCAATAAATAGTAGCCATGTGCATCCCCTAGCGAAATGCGTTTGTAGCCAAGCCAATTAAGCACGAGAGTTTTTACTCTGGCGGCAGGAGATGCCAGGATTTTCACTGCTTATGTGTTTTTATTCAATTAATTGATCATGCCATATACACGCATGATCAATGCCGCACATACGAGTCGCCTCGCAAAAGACAACATCAGCACCCTCACTCTAAAAGGACGTAGGCAACAGCTGAATGTGCGAGGTCCAAACTTTAGAAATGTCCCACTTTTGAATTGCGTCCACAGTGTTACGTGGCACAAGCCCTGGGACGTGACAAACACGTTAAGTAACTCTGCAGACGTGCGGGCACTACGAGTGGCAGTCTGCTGGCATCGAGAGGAGCCTTCAAACAAGCTGTCGGGTCTGCTCAATTTTAGGCAACAGGAGATTTGATTCTGCAGCGATGGGAGTCTTGATAAACGGCAGCAGTCACCGCGCGCATTGTTAATTTAAAGGTGTGGGGCGGGGAGGGGGTGGGTGAAGGCACCAGGAATGTTTTAATATTATTCATAACTGACACCGATGTAATACGTGACAACTGGGCGGGGGGGAGGGAGTTGCTACCAACATAGAAATGTTAACTGATTGGCATGTGAGGATTCATTCAACACGTCAAAGCAAGTTCTGTCATTACGTAATGAGAAATTGTGAAGACACAGAGCTAAATTAAGTCAAATTTAGAAATGAGAAAGAAGATCACTCAACTGGAAAATGTAGCACGAGTTGGGAAATAAAAAAATTAGCATGAAATGTCCATGTAGCTTTTTAATCGATGCTAAATGGAGGGAATTTGCAGGGTTTTTTTTCGTGAAATTAATACTGCACCTAGTTTTGAAGTTGTCATTTCGTATTTATTTTGTTTTGAGGAATGGATGTCACGTGATAAGTGCCTTATTCTTTGGGTCTTTCGGTAAAGCCACGTAGATAGAAAAAATAATAAAAATATCACGACGTTTCGATCGCATGGTATGGCCCATTCCACAGTATATAAAAGCAGTTCTCAAGCTATTGGGTGCAGGCTGCGGCATGGATACCGTGCAGATGAAATTTCGAAAGTGTGCGGGGAATAGATGGCACCGGAATATGGTGACGAGACACAGCAATGCACAACGTGAAACAAACACCTTTTTCACACTGCGTTATATGTGTGGATATGTAATCTCTCTTTACAGGGTGGTCCAGATGTTTTGTAGACTCCACGATTAATCGATCCCTAACATTTTTCGTTCGGTTTATCCTTTGCGTATTAATTTCTGTTGTAAATAAACCTGACTTCAAAAAAATTAACCCGTAAAAACAAAGTTTTTCACTATAAATCCTTTATATGTGTGTTCAATGGGCCACAACCCAGCCCACATTGGTCTTTGAAACGGGCGGCTAGAGTCCTCTCGTCCTCTGGCTTGAGATGGCTGCCACTTAGGGGTCAGATGATTGCCTGCCATCATTAAGCAATTGGTAATTAAATATAATTTTTTGTTACCTAAAAAGTGTAAAATTTTGGAAAAAAATTTTCACGAAGAGAAATTGTCACGCACAACGAGTCCTGCGTGCAAAATGTCAGCTCGATTGGATCACGTGAAGTGGGTTAAAAAACGACCAAAAGATTTGCACGGTCGTAAGCGCGCAAGCAAGTGAACTTAATATAAAGGATTTAAAAAACACGAAGTTTTAGAGAAGTAAACGGGGATCACAGGACATCTGGACCGCCCGGTATAACTATAAATACGTGTGGGGGGTGGGAGGCAGTGACCGGGAAGGGGGCAAGCAGTGACCAATTGTCTTGACTCTGGGGGGAGTGGAGGGGAGTTCAAGTTCAAGTTCATTTATTAGGTATAGCCCTGTGAGCCATTCGGCTCTTGAATCGGGTGCAACCGCAACAAACAAAAAACAAAAACATGAACAAAAAACATCTTAAAGTGAATATGTGACTGAGTGCAAACAGAAAATCCAAGAAAAGACAGCAAAATATTGCAGAAAAAGCACCGTACACCAACACTGTGTGCAAAAATCCCAGTGGGATGCAAGTCAAACAACAACAACCACAAGACAACTTAGATTAAGGCCATCAGTCTAACTCTGTACTACAACAAACAAACATGGCCAAACCAAAAAACTTTTAGAAAATCACCAAAATAAAGCCACCATGGTGGCAAGACGTTGGGGTGCCACAGTGGCGAGATGTTAACGACCTCGCCTGGTGTAGAGGAGGTCATGGGTTCGACCCTGATCTCTGACGCCTGTTGTGTATTTGAAGTTTGCGTGTTTTCCTCGTGGTCGTGTGGGGTTTCTTTCCGGGTCCTTTGGCGGTTCCCTCCACAATTAGAAACGTGCATTTAAAATATTACAATTATTTTCCTGTTATAGATGTCCACATGATAAGCCACTTTGCTGAGCTATCATTTGTGGCCAGGTCGCTTCTGAAAAATAAGTTCATAGCTCGGTGGGCTTTACTCGGTAAGATAATAAAAATTGTTTAGTTTTATATATATCGTTTTTCAAGTGATTTCTTTACCTTTCCTATACTTTGCACTCCTATCGTCGTTTTGTATTGTTTGTTGTTGTGAGGTTCTGACCCGCCCCTACTGGACTTGTGTGAAAAAGAGCTTCATAGCTCATCGGATTCCTCCAGTATAAATACATATTCTGATTCTGGACCGAGGAGGGCACACGCGGGGACCAATGGCCTTGGGGGGGCCACAGCACCAGAAATGGTTGACAACCATCGGTGTAAAGCAACAGAAATGAAGGCAACATGTAGTCGGCTGTCTGCCTGGAATAGATGGTGGAAGAACAACCCCCGTGGTCACATTACTCATCAACCCTTGTGGAATGTAATGCTGAACAGACCACAGAGGATAGAGTTTTTTGATGTTAACAGGAGATATTGCGATTGCGTTACATTTGTGTCGAGAGTGGCTATGGGGGAATATATTTCGGTAAGTGCGATGGGTAAACGTTGATTATGGCTTGGGCTTTGGCTTTGGGGGAACGTGGGGACATTAATGAGCGAATGATGATGATGATCCGGTGAATACGAAGACAAATGCTTCCTTCTTTAAGCACCAGCTGCTCAGTGAATCATATTATACGCTTCTATCAGATATTCGTATTCAGCATTGGTACTGCAGTGTCATGCATGGGTAGAGATGTATCTTGATGTTTAACAGTGGCAATAATGGTAAACTTCTTGGTTCTTTCGGTAAAGTCACGTAGAATGGAAATAATAAAATAATAAAAAATAAAACATAATAATTTTATTATATTATTTTATCATATTATTTTATTATGTTTTATTTAAAATGATTATTTTATTATGTTTTCTTTTTATTATTTTATTATTTCCATTCTACATGACTTTACCGAAAGAACCAAGAAGATGAATCCCTGCAGTCACGAAAGCTTTAAATCGAAATAATGGTCAAGTTGACCAAGGCAAGATCAATTACCAGGTATCCATTTGACCGATTTTACTCGAATGAGTGTCATGTATTTGAACAAACGTTTCCTATGCATGCACGAGGTAAAGTGTTTGTTCATATTGTATATATATGTACATGATACTTTAAGGACACCATTAATTACTATTCTTTACATCGAAATAAGCTACATGTGACATATCATATGCAATTACGTAGCGTGGGCCTGTAAAGAGGCCCACACAATAATACAAGCTGCTTGTCGAAGAAGATAGCAAGTTATCAACTCAGAACATTAAAATTGATTTGGATCTTTAAGAAAGCTAAGTTATTCTCCCCAGGACGCTGCAACGGTGTCATGGTTCGAACCTGATACTGGAATAGCCATTAACAAGTTTCTGGTTCAATCTGCCGGAGTGGCAGTCGAAACAATGGTGGAGCTTTATTCAGTCCCATCCCACCATGCCTCTGTCCACTCACAGCAGGATAAATGGTTTCACCGGAGGTAATCGATGGGTGGGTTCTTGTGCAGGTGGAGGAGTAAAGTGTGCGTACCCACACCCTCTTTGTTTGGCCTGGCATTGGAAGAGAAGGCCAATGGCCCATGCTCTGGAGCTCGCTCTAGTGAAGGCCCTTCCGCTCGCAGTGGCGTGAACAGGAAATTGCCGAGCTGCGCCTTGACCTTTCACGTGACTGCAGGAGTGGCAGGTAAAGATAAGCAAATCCACCTTCTAAGATAGTAATGGCATCAACATTGATTTGAATAAAGCCGCGTTGTTTCCCCAAACTTCTTAAGGGGACCCGTTGAACGGTGACTATGATAACAACGACGAGAACGATGTCCATTCACGACAAATTTGCAGCGAGGGGCGCCTGCGATTCACCCGTTAGCGATCGCTTCCAGCGGCCACAGCCACGACGAAGATGATGACGACGGTGCCGGTGGTAACGAGGAATTGTCTTGCGCTTGCAGGAAAATGTCCAAAAAGCGCAAGGAGGGCGGCAATGGTGGCAGCCGGCAGGAGATGACGCTGATGGTGCACGCGATGGACAAGAGCTTCGTGGAGCAGAGCGCCCTGCACGGTGAAGAGCCTCTCGCCTTCCTCAACGCGCACAACGGCACCGGCAGATGTGAGCGAGTTCACGGCGAGCGGCAAAAGCGTCGCTCGCCGGTTGTCATTCAGTCCGTCGTGCCGGGCCCGTCGATTTTTTTTTTTTTTATGGTGCCTTTGTGCGCGCGCCTGAGTGGCGCATTGTGAAAGTGCGGTCGCCTATTGTGGAGGAGAAAACAAATTCTGATATCGTCGCAGAAAATTGAAAACGTTTTGTCCCCCCCCCCCCTGCACTTGCTCCCGCCCCGAAGTTGAACTTGGCAAAGCACGTTGTGATGTCTGTAATACTAACGCGATGTGCTCGGATGTATTTATGTATTCATTACGGGTAAAGCAGTTCAAGATCACTGCTTTAATCGCACATTTCCAACCCTAATCAATCGCACTTTCAAAACAATAAAAAAAAATTAAGTCACGGCAACACTATTCACGTTTTAGGATAAAACAGAAATTTTGAAGTGTCTTGTTTAATCATACTTCCCCAATGATTGTGCACCCATCGACCAGACACTGTAGAATAATCGCAGGCATTAAATGGCTGTTGCGAAATGAACCATGTGCAGTAGTGGCTGCAGCATTATACTTTTAAATCTGCTTAAATGGGACCGATCACATTAATGGGAGAGGGGAGCCATTCTTGCTATGCTGATTTATGTTCTCGACGAAAAAAAGACAAAGATCCCCCATATAGCCTTGACAAACTGTAGGGGCAAGTGCTGTTAGCGAGCACCTATAAAGGCCGGCACGGCAAACGAGGGGGTGGGTGGCCAACACCACGCCCGACCGCCTTTGTCTCCCAAGCAGCAATGTTTACACATGGCACCAGGTACTCATTTGAGGCTGAGTCGACCTAGGGGAAGCCCAGGACCGGTTCAGATAATCGTCACTGGGTGTTGACCGTGAGCAGGAATCGAACCCGGGTCGCCAGGTTCGTAGCGCGGTGCGCTAACTGCTACACGACCGCTCCCCACTCGACACACACACACACACACACGCGCATTTTTACGAGAGAGACTAATAGATTGTGGTTCATGATAACCATTGTCCAAATAGGGTACTTGAGATTTCTTTTGATGTCCTTGCTCTGCTGAGAACCTATATGGATGGAAAAAAAACTGCATATAAATTTCTTTTAAGGCCCACTTGAAATGTTAGTATGTTAAAAGGAATTACAAAAAAAATTATCACGTCAAATTGTCCGTCAAAAAATATGTTATTAGTGTGGAGTGTTGTAGTTGTTAGCATGGCTGCAATATGAACCTGGCGGCTGGAGTTCAGTTGTACGCCATGGCTGAAAATAAGTGGCAAGTGATATCTGAACCGGTCCTGGTCCACTCTCAACCATCTCACACTTAGCGGAATGGTGAAGAATGGTCAAATAACCCCAATGACCAACACGGGTTGGTGAGGCATTTCTCTGGCAGTGGATTGAGAAAGGGCTGCATCTCATTATTGTCATCTTATACTTAGTTCAAGTAAAATACTCATGAAACGCATTGTAATAAACTCCGACCCCTTAAGGTATTGTTGTCTAATGTTCAGCAATTGCTTTGAATTTTCCCGACTTATGGCTCAGATTCTCAGCTTATTTGGAGACACTGTTAGCGTGTGCTTATGCATAAATGGGACCCCATATTAGACAGTTGTGTGTGTTTTATGTGACCACATTATCAATGAGATCAGTTTGGTCGTGTGTATGCGTGGGTGAATTTATCACTTTTAACTGCATAAATTAACCAAACTTGTGCTGCTTGTGTATTTTTATGATGAACAACCAACTTAATTTACTGTGTTCAGAGGGCTAACACATTCGATTTTGGTCGCAATTTGTGTTGGCGTACCTGCGATATATATTTCACGATATACTGCAATTGCATGATGGGTATCAGGGGGTCGCCAGACAGAGTTGGTGTTTGCACGTGGGTGACACTGTGTAGCAAAGTCAGTGAAAAGATTGGAGGAAAAAGTAAACCCGTAAAAACAAAGTTTTTCACTATAAATCCTTTTAATGCGTGGCGGCTAGAGTCTTCTCGTCCTCTGGCTTGAGATGGCTGCCACCTATGGGTCAGATGATTGTCTGCCAGTATTAAGCAATTTGTAATTAAATATTTAATTTGTTTTCCCTAAACAGTGTACAATTTTGGGAATTTTTTTTCACGAACATTAATTGTCTCGCACAACGAGTCTGTGTGCAAAATGTCAGCTCGATTGGATCACGGGAAGTGGGTTAAAAAACGACCGAAAGATTTGCACGGTCGTAAGCAAGCAAGCAAGCACGCAAGCACGCACGCAAGCAAGCAAGCATGCGAACTTAATATAAAGGATTTTTTTAAATAAAATCAAATTTGACCGTTTTTTTTCTGGATTTAAAAGACGTGCCAGAAAGTAAGACGCACCCCCCTCCAGCTTTTTGCGTCATCCAAACAAAAATGTCCACAGGCAAATACAGTCCGGGCAAATGCACAACAGCGGCGTTACACAGACCGTGAGAATCACGGTAACCCGGTACAAAATCTAGCGCCAACATTGCATCGTCTTACATTCGATGCACAACGTCTGTCGTCTCAAACCTGTTATGGCAAGAGCGTATATAAACAGAACTCCCATTTTGGTGTCTCCGCGTGTAAATACGAACAACGAGTCAAAACGTCGTCTCCTCGGCTGCTTTATAAAAAGCCACGCCGCGGAATGAGTGGCTGGATTGGACACCGCAGCGCAATTGTGACTTGCGTGTTCAGGTGGAACGTTTTTCAGGCCACATATCGAGACCCTGCCACTACCCCCCTCCCCCCCAATGTTTGCTTTAAAAATAACTGAAAGAGCAATGCGTCTCACAAATTGAGAATGTGGTAAGCTGTACCATGGTGTTATAGTGGTAATCCATAAGAGTAGCAATAGATTTTGATGCTTCTGTTTTAATTAGTATTTGATTTTAGCAAATGAAGGACCGATTACACTGACATGGTGATAAGCAAAGAGAGGACAAACACAGACACACTCATGCTTGCTCAGTCATGGGTGGCTGATTGCAGAAGAGGAAGGCTTAAGTAAATAAAGAGGAAAAGGGACATTAAACACCCCCCTTATCGTCAACGACAATGCGACGTTAAAGAATGTGCTAATCTGCCAATGTTTGTAAGTTTAATGCGTCTAAAGTAAAGGCAACAATCCACGTATAGCCTTCAACAGAGTGTTGGGGCAAGTGCTGTTAGCGAGCACCTGCCTATGAAAGTCGGCACTGCACACGAGGGGGTAGGTGTCCAGCACCACGCCCGGCCGCTTTTGTCTCCCTAGTGATTATGTTTTAAACATCGTGCCAGGTACTCATTTGAGGCCGAGTCAACCTAGGGGAGGCCCTGGACTGGTTCAGATATTCGTCACTGGTGTTGGCCGTGAGTGGGAATAAAACTTGGGTCGCCGGGTTCGTAGCGTAGTGCGCTGACTACTACACTACTGCTCCCCACTATGTATGTGTGTGTGTATGTGAAACACACACATACACGTGTGCACCTGTGTGTGTGTACTTGTGTTTGTGGGGGAGTTAGGGGCCTGAAGGCCATATTTGGTTTTCTATGCACATACTATTCCTCCCGGGAGCTTTCCTCTGGATTTGGCCTCAGCCGTGGCTACCCCCTCGGCAGCTGACTTACTGCATACCTTTGGCATCTACTCACATCCTGGCAGTTTAGGTTTCAGGGATTTAGTGCAGATTGTACAGCCAACCGGAAAGAACTCGTAACTCGCAGGACCACTCTGCTGATGCGTTTAACTTTTGGCTGGCTTTATAGTGGAATTACATTCCTTTATCACTCCTATTTTCCCAAAGATAATTTGTCGTATTATAATCCAAAATTGGCTATCCTAGCCGACAAGAACGTGCCATCTTCAATGTAAGCTGCTTTTCCATTTTCAAAACTCCGAAAAGACGTTGGAGAATTGTCGGCAGAATTACAAAAGTAAACAAACATGTACAGTACTGTATTCCCAAAGGAAAGCCCAGCAGGTAATGTAATGCTACCTCGAACGATGTACAACGTGAACAGTAAAGATAACGAGAAATGTGCTGAGAGTGCTAACGAGTAATTACAGCGGCACTGAAGTGAAAATGACACGGTTTTAAATTCAGCGTTGCAAGCGTCCCCTTATAATGGCATTCAGCATCTGTGAACTGGTAGGCTTGTGTTATAAAGTTGCAGTTTAAACTAGCCATTTAGTTGCATCACATTTTGAACTCTGACCCTGCTGTCAGTCCAATGCCCCCCCCCTTCCCCACCATTATTCCTCCTATCCCTTGCCGTGAGTCACAGACAATGATTAAGCTATGGGTGCAGACTCCATGCCGGAGCTTTTAGCATAATGAGTGGTTCGGCCAAAGGCTGCGATGTTATGAGATTATATAAATATATTTCTGAGCACCCTTGGGCGATTACAATTTTTTTTATGCTTTTGGTGTTGCATAAAAGCAACTATGTATCAGTATGGCCTTCAAGTAGTCTATACCTAAAATTCACTGCGTTTAGATACAATTGTCTTTGAGTGCTATCTTAAATAAACTGCTGTGTTCTGAATTAGGTTTTTTTCCCAGGCTACACAGAATGATACAATTATTCCCAACTTATCTGCTTAATGTTCAAATAATCTTAGAGCATAGGAAGGACTGATAATGCATAATAATTATAGCCGGGCGGTTGTTTAGACAGAGACTGATGCTATCGCTGTGCAAGAAAAGTTTAACACAGCACCTTCACTGTGTCCTGCATCCCAGAACAAATTACACATTGGAATCTAATTTGCAAACCAAAATTGTCCATCTCTGCTTATGTTCAAGCTGTAAATTGTTTTGCAGCACAATTTGGACTTAATGCTTTAGTATCCGACGCTTCAATTCGCGGAGTCAATATTTGTTACCATGCAGCGTATCACCATAGCTTCATTACATGATGTACTCGTGCTATGGACAGTTTTGAAAACACAAGGTTTTTTTAGGCTCAATTAGCAAAACGTTAAATCCTCTTGGTTAGGCATTGTTACATTCTAATTAATGTTCGTCTTTCACTACTTATTGTATGTGCAATGAGGTGTTACTCACGAGGGCATGTCTAAATATTCATTATGAGGATCACTGTGTGAAGCATTGCATACGTAATTTATAAAAGGTAAATGGTGCAGCCATTCAATGTCTTACTCACTCGATGGAACCTTGAAGAGCCCCTTGCGAGGGTATTTAGGTCGACTTTTTAGCACTGGTCTGACGCAGTGGGAGAGGTTGGAATACCCACATTTTACCCCACAGCTTGAGGAACTGTAGTGAACCCATTGCTACTGCTGGGGGGAATGTAAGAACCTTGGCAATGTACATTACTAGTTGTTAATATTTTAAAGGTATTAATGGATTTCTCATTGACTTGTTTCTCTGCACAGCTTTCTCATCGCCAGCACTTTCTGACAAGAGCCATACCAATAACAGCAAAGCCTGCCACCCTTGCTACGTTTCAGGTAATATGGTTGTCTGTTACAAATGTGTTTCACGGTCAAATTTTGAACGCCATCGCAAGACTCCTGACAAAGGAAGTGCAGTCAGTAGGGTGCATTGCATGTGTTGTATTCGTGATCACACCCCAGCACTATCGGCCAACCGGCCTCCTGTTAGGATGAAAACCGGCCGATATTCTTCACCAAATAAGACTTATATACTGCATCAAACTTCAGAGATTAAAGATAAAGGTGCAGCCCTTGCGATCGCTTGACCACGCCACTGCTGTTGGAACGGCCTTCGCTCGAGGACGCTCTCGACGTGGTCTTCGATAGGACTGTTTGTGGTGGTCCACTCTACCACACTGGCCAGACATCTTGCGAGCGATGGGAGCACCCAACATTCTTTAGCCGACCACACACGTGACCTATCGATCAACTCAACGTGGTGCACACGATTTGTACTGCGGTGAACAGAAGTATGGGGATGCTTAACTGGCACGCACCCCACGATCGCTAGTCCAGTGTACTCACCGTGTCGCGAGGGCATGCATCAGAAGTCTTCTCAACCGAACAACTATCCTCTTTGGTTCTTTCGGTAAAGTCACGTAGTTAGAAATAAAATAAAACAAAACACGACGTCGCGATCGCAACACAAGCGGAGGCAAACGTCGTGATTTGTTTGATTGTATTTCTATCCACGTGACTTTACTGAAAGAAGCAAAGGGTATGGATTCCTGCAGTCACGAAAGGTTCGAATCAAGATCGAACAACTGTTGTTTACACATTTTCCTTTCGATGGGATTTTGCTTCGTCTAAGTAAAAGAAAGCAAAGTTTGTGCCTGTTGGTACTGCCACGTGATTGGCTACGCACACTCCTTTCGCGATCGTCCTCCGTGGAGCATTAGGAAGTTATTCTGAGCAAAGATAAACTGTAACGCTTGCAGCACTAAAATGTCGACAGCGTAATAACATAGTGGCCGAGAGAATTCTGTAATTTGAAAATAGATTTGTATTACCTCTGGCTAAAAGAAGGCTGCACACACTCAAACAGCTGCACACTTGCTTCCAAGGATATCACTGTAGGCTTTTCTCATTAGAGTAGCTGTAGAAAAGTCATTTAACTGCTCAAGGTGTAAAATTGATTCATGCTGTAGTGTTGATACCGAAAACAGACTTTTAAAATCTTCTTGGTTCTTCTTCTTGGTTCTTTCGGTAAAGTCACGTAGAAGGGAAATAATATAATAATACAAATAAAACATAATAAAATAATATAGTAACTATAAAATTATATAATAAAATAAAATTACATAATAAAATAATATTATAATATACAATAATAAAATAAATCTCACCATTTTTTTTATTGTTATTTTATTATTTCCCTTCTACGTGACTTTACCGAAAGAACCAAGAAGATGAATCCCTGCAGTCACGAAAGCTTTAAATCGAAATTTAGATTTATAAAATGTTGAACGCGAACCTACAGCTATGGCAATGCATGTCAAAACCATGCTCACTCTTCTTGCTTTTCTCTCTTTTTGACCTTTGTTTGTCTACGACTTGCTAGCAGCACCGGATGATACATTTGTTCCAACAGCAGTCTTGGGTAAGAAAGGTCTTAAGACTGCATCCCTTATTAGCAATCATTACAGTCGTAAAAAATAACATGGTATGGTGATATAAATGACGGCACGCTACAATCACTTTGTACGGCTTGAAACGGTGGTGCAAAGAAAGAGATGGAGATTGGACGTTGTTTTACTATTAATAACGTTTATAATTAAAGAAAAAATTGCTTAACTTCTAGATAAGATTAAAACTGTTCAGCTTTCGAAAGGTACTTAGGCTGCTGGTATGCATGCAAATATAATTAATCATCACATTTGGCCAGCAGCACTTGCCATTTGATTTGTTTCACGACAATTAGGCGCATTTTAATTAAGTAAGATAAAACAATGTTACCCGCACTGTGATGTGATTATTAAAAAGATGCGTAACAAATGTACGTATATATGTTGAACTTCTTTCGCACAGTACATAGCCAACCATGCTAATTGTAAATGCGGGGGAAGGACAACAAACCAATTACAAAAAGCAGTTCCAAAGAAATTAGTTTTCAATCTATATTTAAAAGTGCATAGCTCCAGTAGCTTCCAAACATCAGGCGGACGAGCATTCACAGATGGCCGCGGAAAGCTCATCTGAAACCGCGCGATGCAGTGACCGCCTTTGTTTGATGGCCAGCTGGAAAAAAATATATCAGCATGGCTTGTCACGAAACCACCTAACTTTGTGACGAGACAGGGGGCACGACCGTGCACCATCAAAGAACGCCATGAAAGTGCCCTCTCGCGACGCTCTCGGCAGCTTCGCCCCGCGGCATCGTTGCTTTTTGTAATTCAGCACGGGGGATGGATCGCGATCTGCTCCCGACAGCAAAGCGATCCGGCGCCAAATTCCCAGAGCGCTCGCATCAAGTGTGGCCACGATGACATTCTGTTGTCGTGGCTGGGGTGGAGCACACCCAGTTGCTAACCTCACTGCACTGGACTGATCGAATTTTTAACTCAAAGCAGTAAGGGTGAATGATGATCCAGCACTCGCTGATTCACTCCAGACATATCTTCACCGGGCGGTCAGTCACCTCATTACCACTCTTCTATTATCGCTACAGTGGTTGTATCTCTCCGTATGCATGTTGAACCTCTTTCGCACCGTACGTAACCAACTGTGCTCACCGGGGGTGGGGAGGAAGGACAAACTCAACACAAAAAGCAGTTTTCAGGAAATTCGTTTTCAATCTAGATTTTAAAAGTACTTGGCTCCAGCGGCTTCCTGCTATCGGAAGGAAGAGCGTTCCAGACGGCCGCAGAAGCGCGTCTGAAAGCGTGCGATGCGTTGACCGTCTTTCTTCGATGGACAGCCCAAAGCCGCTTGCGAGGATGACCGCAGTTCGTGTGATGGTTTATACTCCTTGACGAGATCAGCGAGGTATTGTGGCTGCCATGAGCTTCAATCATCAATTCCTCCACCTATGTTAAGAGTTGTGTCTACTGCCAGACTGACTGGTCCATCTCATCTACCATTCTGGCACGTGCAGTGACGGGTACTGTAACAATCCGACCATGCCCGTCCAGTGGTTGCCGAACGAATACATTATAAGGTTGCATTCATTGCACATAAGGGAATTGTCACAAATGAACCACAATCTAGATCGAAAACTAATTGCTTTAGAACTGCTGTTTGTGTTTAGTTTCGTCCCCCTCCCGCACCTCTGATTAGCGCGGTTGGCTACGTACGGTGTAAAGAAGTTCAACATACATGCCAGAGGGCACACTACTTCTTCTGATTCTTTCCTCACGCTGCATGACGTTGGAAATCGCTCCCATTGTCGCTTTTTTTTTTCCCCAACATAAGTCCTTGCAACATTTCTCAATTTTAAGAAATGTAACTCTATAATCTGTTACACATTCAACTGTTTATTGTTAACCGCTTGGCATTTCGGACCTCTGTGACCATGGGCTCAGCAATTGTGATGAAGAGTAAAACAAATAAAACCCAGGCTGCCTCATTCCTGCAGTGATCTAGAATTGAAATCGCATCGTGACGGTGATTGGATAATTCCAGGACACGTGGGTTTCAAACTGAATTGCAGCTTTCCCTCGCTCTATGCGGTAGGTTCATGTAAAAGGGCGCACAAAGCGAAACCGCACGAGACAGCTGTCTGCCGAGTAGCGCACATAGTACACACAAAGTACACACACATAGTGCACACACACAGTACACACATAGTACACACACAGTACACACACAGAGTACACACAGTACACACACAGTACACACAAAGTACACACACATTATACACACAATACACACACAGTACACACAGTACACACACAGTACACACACCACACACATAGCACACTCACAGTACACAGTACACACACAAAGTACACACACACAGTACACACACACAGTACACACACATAGTACACACACACAGTACATACACACACAGTACACACACAGTACACACACAGTACACACTACGCGATCTTATCCACCACATCCGACTGAATAGCCGCGTAACGAGCGAATTCAAACCGCGTACAGCAAACACTGGGCAGATATAGGTTACTCGCATATACGCGAAATCACGCAAACCGAACCACCAAAAAGTGAGGGAAACCTGTACCAAAGCCCAATACAATATCGACCGATTGTGGTGCGGTGAATCTGGATAATGTTTTATTTTTATCCACAATGTACTATAGCAACAAATCCCAATGAAAAACATAGCCCGATATTCACTCTGCTTCCTTGGAGGAGCAGCGCAGGTTGTGTTTTGACGTGCTCATCTCAGACGGGCCACCATCTCATCACACAGCTGTTCTTCATCAGGGGCCAATAGAAATCTGCAGAGCTGGCTTTTTAAGTATCAGCATTGTCTCCGTTTTTTTTTCTTCCTGGCAGCCTTGTGGAAATTAAAGGAGGCAAAAAAATGCTTCTGATTATGCATGCATTGAAATGTAAATCTGTTCAGCTACAGCTTTCTTGCACCAAAATTGGGATAAAATTTTTTTTGAAGAACTTAGTGGCTGCCGATTTCTGTTGGCACCGACCACCATAAACACAGCTTCTGCTCTGTAGCGTCCTCACGCTGGCACCACGTGGCCATTGGCCAGTCACCAGTGCAGGATGCCCTTTCTTGGTTGCTGGCCTAGAGTGGTTTGTTTGGCTGGAGCGCTCAATATTCATGTTTATATACGTGCGCTTCCCTTTTTCTTCCCTTCATGCCGTTGTCACTTCTACTGCCACTTGTCTCTCCGGACTCAGTGTCTATCGCTGGTAAGTCAGTGTGCCAGCCATCCTCACGCTGCATGTCCATTGTGTACAGTGGGAATGGGGCTCTTGGCTCCCCAAAGCAGATGCTTGTTTATTCGGTCAGGTTACAAATGCGTAGATAATATGCGCACGTATGGGTGCAACGGTGAAGGAAAAGCCCTGCAATTTCTTGCTCGTGCAACTCCTCGCAGAAGGGCATCTCTGCTAGAGGGAGCCCTGTAGAATTATATAATACAGTCTTGTATCCCAATCTTTGTCCACGCAATACGTACGAAGAAATATTGTTTATATTATGCAGCTCTTCTTGACCTCAAGCACAAGTAAAATCATGGATTAGAATTACAATTTTAGTCGATGGCAAAAGAGGGAGAAATCTGCTGCGCAACAACGCCCCATATCTGAGACGCGTGGCAAGAGAGACCGGGGGGACCCTTTGAGCAGACACCCAGCATGCTGCTATGCAAGTGAATGAATAAAACAACTCCTACAAAGAGTCCATGGGCCACGGCAGAAATCGGTACCACCTAAGGTAAAACAAATAGGAGTCGTACCAGCTTTATGTGTAAATAATAACGATCATTCACAATACTCATTTAATTTATGAAGCACCTTTCATCGAGGATCTCAAAGCGCCGTGCAAGACGCAGCAGCAAAACCCCAGCGTAAAAATAACTTATGAAACAAACAAATATATGATCAAATAAATGCTAAAAGCGATTTTCTGAATTTACTAACAGTTAAAATATACGAAAGTGGACACTGTAAATACATTTTAAGAAGTGTTTAAAAAATGCCCACTAACTCAGAGAGTTCCTGGGATCCCGTGGAAGGGAGTTGTAGAGGCTTGGGTCCACACGGGAAACAGCTCGTTAACCCATTAACCTAAGCCTCTGTGACCTGCGAATGCAGAGAGGATCCGCACCCCCCGATGTGAGAGATGGGACATTGGTGCAGTGTGTCTCTGAGAGCGGCTGGAGGAAAGGTGGTTCAGTTATGGCCAACAGGAGGGAATTATTTTATCAACCCACTCAATTTTATGTATGCATGTTGAGCTTCTTTCACACCATACTCTGCACAAATTTAAGTGGTTATCACATTCATTTACTTTTTGGCCACACTCAATAAATTGTAACCACTAGATGTTTGCTACCGCAGGTGGTACTGACAAAATACCTTGTCTGGGCTCATGGACTATAATAATTGGTTTAAGAGAAGCTAAAAAGACAAGAGATACCTGCATCATCAGTGCATTTAAGAGCAATGGGTCTTACGATTTCGTTTAAATGCAACAGACAAATTAAACCAACTTACTAAAGATCTTTACAAGAAGCAGGGGAAGCATCCTAAACCATCTGGGAGGTTTCCCTTGTTTTCGTGTTTTCCTATTTTGGCAGAATTCATCCTGAATTTTGTGTGGCATGAAAATTAGGAGGAGGGCTACATTTATAATGTGTGAAAATGTGAGGAAAGGCGAATGACAGCCATGTTAACCCACCCATTTACCCTCTGCTCATATCTGCCTTATGTGTACAACGTGACTCATTTTCCTGCCTTGCAAGCTGTTAATACTTTATTTCCCCACTAGTTTTACATGCTGAGCAAAAAAACCGTTCCATTTTGTCGCAGAAAATAATCACCCACCAAAGCTTTTAAATCTTCCAGTGGAAATTGCTGCACGTTTCATTCCATGAATTACGTATCTTAAAAGCCGGTGTAAATTTTCCCTCGAAAATGTGGTTATTATACGACATCGTTGCCGCATCCTACCACTATTAGGATTTCTGATGTTCACACGCATACAGTGTGTTGTTTTGTGTGCAACACTTTCAGCATTGAGAATTCACATGACCCACAGAATCCCAATGTGTGTACAAGCGGATCACATTGTTATCTTCCTAAATGCCCCAAAAAACATTCATAATAAATACACACGACTCCTGTTTATTACCAAAAATAATAGCTCTCCCAACGTTCTTTCAGGTTGTATCACGTGTTGCCCAGCATCGTGGCCGACGTTTTGCTCCACGTGCAGGGAGCCTCTAGAGGAACCAAATTCAGCGCGACTCTGAGCTTGGCTCCTCGCCTCTGAGTTGCGGCCACTACGTCTGCAAATTTGCGCGCGTTACAAATTTAACTATTATTATTATTATGTCAGTTCCTGAAGAAGCTCTCAGTACATTGGGCAAAACGCGAGACATCGTACCGAACGACACTCCCGCGGCACAACTCATCGGACACAGATATATACAGCACAATCTTGGAAACGTTATGCAATACGATTAAATGTAGATAATTCAAAATCCTCCCTTTGTCTGTCATCTGTCCTAGATGAGAACCATGGCAGTGCGAACTGCTCAGCGGAGCAGCCTGGCCCCGCTTGCGGTCCCAGTGTGGTCGGTGTCATCGGCTGCAGTGGTGGCGGTGGTGGCAGTGGTGGTGGTGGCGGTGGTGGCAGTGGCGGTGGAGGAGGAGGCAGCATGGCTAAGGCGGTGCGGTCATTCCACACGCACCACGGCCCGCCGAGCCAGCCGCACCACCTGCCTCCCCACGCACCGCCCCCTCAGCCTCCAATGCCACCGCAGCAACAACTGCAGCAACAGCCGCAACAACAACCGCAACAACCGCAACAACAACCACAGCAACCACAGAGGCACCGGCGCCCAAGGGATGGGCCCGACTCACCTGCCTACCACACAGGGCGGCTGCACCCTGCAGTGCGCGTGGCTGATCTACTGCAGCACATTGGACAGATGAAGACCGGGGAGGGCTATGGCTTCAAAGAGGAGTATGAGGTGACAGAGCAAACTGGATGAATGAGTGGGTGGGATATGGACAAGTTCGGCACAGCGCATGGGAAGCCACAAACGTCCTGTTGGAAATGTGTTTTTTTTTTCTGGAGCTTTTTTTTGTCACTCGTGAATTTGCATTGGACTGCAATCCCACATACTTTCCGAGGCAATAGTCAGCGAGAGTACTTTTCAGTCTACCTGATAATAGCACTATCACTATTTCAGTCCATTATTGTTTTTAAACCCACATTTTAATCCATCAATGGCAACTATACTTCATCCCTTCGGATATAATGTGTCTTCCACAGTTTCCCCCATTTGTTGCAACCTTCCCCAGGCTCTCAGCTCCGCTGAAAGCTCCTCTCAAAGTGCACGCTTTTCACATTCAAGATAGCACACCCAGCTCACCCAGGCCCTTCCCTTCCCCACAAGAGCACTTAGCCAGTGGTTGGCCAATTCTTATCCTAACCTCCTCGTTTCAGGTGACATCCTGCCACCTTACTCTGAAGAGCTCCCCTTAAGCATCCTTCATTGGACCCATTCAATCTGGCTGCTAACTCCCCTGTGAGCTTACTTCTTTTTTTCAAACAAGCCACTAAGATCCCCAGCTGAAATGTAAACTTTTGTTTGGTCTGTTATTCGACCACTCCCTATACAAAACATGTATCCCTGAGAAGGTAACATTTCAATGGGTGGCTTGTTTTAGGGGCAGGTACTTAAGATCAAATATTAGGTCTGAAACTATGATGGCTAAATAGAGATCCAGATAGAGCATTTGATATATCCCATATTGGCTGTGAAAATATGTTCATGGCCTATATATTGGCGAGGCTCATGAGTTATAATTAGTATTTTGTGTTTCTTTTTACAGCAGTTATTGGTTTATGTTGGTAACTGAAACATGTCCATAGTCTGATAGTGGAAAGCTACGTTGAAAGCCAACAGAATACACAATCAGAGCAGCGTTAAAATTATTTTAACTCAATTATTGTATGGCTTTACAATATTATAAAAACAACATTATTTACACTGCCTTTATACTCTGTGCCACTGGCCTTCCCAGCTGCTACATTAATATGATTTTAAAACATTGGTTCGTTTATAAAAAAAAAAGTCAGTTGTAGTTGAGCTAAAAAAAACATTGAATGTTACTCTATTTTGTATGTTCAAATAGCCACGTTTATAAGTGTGTGTGTCAGTCCAGTGGGAAGATTGTGTGCTGCCTAAAAAAAACAATGCTAATCCCCGCGTCAGCACAGCGATGGGCCTGTCAAGCTGCCAAGGAGATAGACAGAGAGCTGAGGATTTTCCAACACTGACAGCAAATATCTTCAGCATCACCAGTGTGTCAGGATTAAGATTCATAGCTTTGAAAATATGTTAAGGTTAAGAGTTATATTGTAATACATGTGTATGAAACACAAACATAACACCGATCGGTAACATACCACTTAATGGATGCAGCTTAGGTGTTAGATAATTGTACTTCGTGTTTAGCTCGTTTACGAATACTCAGCAAACCCAAATGACCCTTTGCTTATTAACTCTGATTCAGAAGTCTAGTTTAATATGTCAGTAATTTTTTTCCCCCAAAGTAAACATTGACAGTTCAACTTGTAATTGTCATTCATCATGCGTGCACGTTATTAAATGCACACAGCCTCTTAAAGGGCCTTGCACACTTTCTCACCTCAGTACCTGGGTCTTGAAGTGACTCGCACATCAGTATGCTCACATCAAGAGCAACCCACAGTGCATTGACTGTGAACTCTTGCCACCGGTATCTTGAAGCAAAGTCCATGTTGTGCATAGCAAAAGGGAACACCTGCCAAATGAAAAATCCATGGGAATACGGTACAACCTTTTCTTTCCGACCAACATATTCCAGCGGCACCATCAAATCTAAATTGAACTTTAGGCCTAGGTAGAAACGAGCCCTGGTAGTGTGTATAATGTAACCACCTCCCAAATACGACCATTCTTTCTGCACACATGTTTTTTTATGTTTTGTAGAGTGGCATTCTATTCGTTCAAATAACAGTTACCGCACATAGGGCATCTGGGCGTGTGAGTGCATAGGTATAATGTGACCTTTAATTCCTCGTATAAAAATCTTAGCAACTTGATTTGAACCTCAATGTAATCAACTTAAAAATATATGTAGAATGTCTGGTCTAATCCATCGCCGTTTTGAACGTTGACGTTCATGAAACATTAATAACGTGTTATATTTGTTTCTGTTAGTGAAAATTTGATACCATACTAGCAACTAGCTCTGTGATAGATTTACGATGTTCTCACACAGTCATGCAATTACCCACAGGTCAACTGACCCTGTTTTTAATGCGCATTTTTTTAAATACATCAAAATAACTTCTGCAACTTTCATTACAGGGTCACAGGGTCACAAGCGGTGCAATTTGGATCTTTCGTCCATGACGTTGTCAAACATCAATTAGCGTTTCCAAGATAATCGAGGACCTCTGATAGTTACACGCTTGATATTAGTTGCAGATACTTTTATAAAGTGATAGTGTCCTTGATCAGTGGCTATTGGCACCATTATTTGTTTTTAATTTTGTGCAGAACCTCACCGTTGAATAAAATAATAGTAAGATAAATACTTCTTGGTTCTTTCAGTAAAGTCACGTAGAAGGGAAATAATAAAATAATAAAAATAAAACATAATAAAATAATTCTCACGACGTTTCGGCCACAATGCAAGCATTGTCCTGAGGACGGCTGCTTGCATTGTGGCCGAAACGTCGTGAGAATTGTATTTTATTATGTTTTATTTTTATTACTTTATTATTTCCCTTCTACGTGACTTTACCGAAAGAACCAAGAAGATGAATCCCTGCAGTCACGAAAGCTTTAAATCGAAAAAAAGATAAATACTATTTGTAGTTGAGACTTACATCAAAATTATCATTAGCATTCCTACAGCCAGTCAGGCTTTATTTAAATATACCCCCCCATCTCTATGCATTAATAAGGCATACACGGTAAGAGGAGGGTGATAATGATCATATGCGTAATGAGGCAGAATCCAATTATCAAGATAAACCTATTCTTTTGGCTGGCGCTTGCTATAAGTGGGACTTGGTGCTTACAGATGAAAAGGCGTTGCCACTGCCACATTGATAGGCACCTGTGTTAGCTCCTGCACTTCCCCATTAATTGCTTTGAAAATGCCACCGTTGTGTTTATTTGCCTCGAAGCAGCTCCGAGCCTTTTGGCACGCGAGCAACGTGCCCGTCGGCAGTGACCCCACCCCCCCCCCCCAAACGAGAATATCCTTGCAAGCGCACGGCCTGCGTACATGGCACGGAATTGTCAAGCGGCATTTTCCAGCTCAGAAATTAAAGGAATTCAGTCGGTGAGTGGGGGGATAAGCAGGTCGGTGAAGTTACGTGATCCACTCAGGCTCACGACGCATTCATCTTCCCTGCAAGTTTGAATATGGCGCAGGGGGGCACTGCAACTTTACAGAGCGGTTGTTTTACTTACAAATGTTAAACACGGATTTATCCATGCAACCTCAATTTGTGGTGTTTAACTAGAGTTGATGGACTATCATATATAATATCAGTATATATTAACATTAATTATCATTTATCAGCCAATATCAATACAGATTTCTTATGTATTCACCCGATTACCCTCAACTCATCCACTGGAGCTTTGGGTCCATGAAAACTCCTTATTACCCGTGGTCCTATTCGAATTATCCACCGTTATCTGTGACTCTTCCTATGCGTCGTTTAACGAACAGTGTCCAAATTTACCACAATTCATAGTACGGTTAAGAGGAGTCGTGTGACAAATTCCTCAAAGAGTGGTTATTTTCACACCGAGGTAATGTAGAACGGAGAAGTTAATTCACGGTAAATGTGTTAAGCTAATAACAGTTTATACATCTGCCATGAAACAAAAATATTGTGCATTAATTACTGGGTGAATATATTCTACAAAGAACAATTTTTCAGGTGAGTCACAGCAATAAGCCAGATGATACCGAAGTACGTGTTAGTCATTCTTAGACATTATATATCGTACCGTTTAAATTGTTCCACAAATAACAAGTAGAACGCATGTTTTGATTGTTTGATATTGCAAAATCGGTAATTTATCCCAACATTTCTTTCTGTAATTTTCGAGCATTGATATGTATTATCACTGATAATAACATAATTATTTTAATTGATCATTTACTGCCATTAAACATGTATTCTATCTTAACAAGAATGTAATGTTTAAAACAAATGACAAATAAATTCTCACTGACAAATTCCTGGTTAAGATGGTTGCCAATGCCCAGACAAAATCATAGTTTCTTGTGTTCTGGCTCTGATAGGAACCCTTGTGATTTGTTTAATCAATAACAGAATGAGTCTGATGGTGGCTGGCCTTTTCTCTTCTCGCATTATTCGACAGTATTTATCAGTCTATCTATAAAAAAAAACAGCGTGTGCCTCATTAAAGAAGAGGGCAATCAACCCATGTTTAGACTAAATGACATATATGCATATATAAAATGTAATCTTAGCAAAAATTCTGCTATTATAAAAGGAACTCAGAAAAAATACATTTTGGCTTGCAGACTAATAGACATCTGGAGTTGTTATTTTCAGCTTTGGCCAAATGCATTTAAAAGAGGGAAGCTTGGCTGTTGTCCATACATCGCATCAGTACATGGAGTGACTGTATTTCAAATAATCTTTCATCCAAAGTCGTGTGCATTCTGTACCCAGAGGACCGCCTTGAATTAACACAGCTTAAATATAGTGTCGAGAATTTTTAAGCAACATTGCGGGCAACGCAGTGAACACTTTAACCAACCGATATAACCATCGAGAGAAGTAGCAAAATGATCCCGACAAAAAGGTTTCATTACAATATAGTATAGCACTCGGAATAGATAATTTGTGAAGCGTGTCTTCGACTTAAAGGATTTTATTTATTTTTACGCACGTATGTGAACATTTCATTTTGCATATCTCTTCTCTTCTTGTTTTCAGAGTTTTTTTGAGGGACAGTCGGCTCCGTGGGATGTGGCTAAGCGAGATGAAAATCGGGCCAAGAACAGATACGGCAACATCATCGCTTGTGAGTCGATGCATTTCGTTTTGGCTCAGTGGTGTCGGCGGCACAGCCGAGTCAACACTTTCCTGTCTACAAAGGAATGGAGAAAATTAAAAATACACACGCACTTCAAAATATAAATGTGGGTTCATCTTCTTGGTTCTTTCGGTAAAGTCACGTAGAAGGGAAATAATACAATAATAAAAATAAAACATAATAAAATAATTCTCACGACGTTTCGGCCACAACGCAAGCAGCCGTCCTCAGGTGTTGTAGCCGAAACGTCGTGAGAATTATTTTATTATGTTTTATTTTTATTATTTTATTATTTCCCTTCTACGTGACTTTACCGAAAGAACCAAGAAGATGAATCCCTGCAGTCACGAAAGCTTTAAATCGAAATGTGGGGTTGTTGGTCGTCGCCCCTTTTGTCTTTAAAAATATACATGAATAATGTGAATTTATTTGTTTACCTACGTGGCTTTACCGAAAAAAACAGAGTGAATCCTTGCAGTCACGAAAGCTTCAAATCTAGAATGAATAATGTAAGCCGACATGTTGATTTCAAATTGCCATAAGCACGTTCAAAGTCTTTTTTGAATGCCGTATTTCGAATTTTATATATACTTACTTGTTTTTTTTGCTCACTTACCCACTCTTGACAGATGACCATTCCAGGGTGATGTTGAATGTATTGGACGAGGAACAAAACAGTGATTACATCAATGCCAACTACGTTGACGTAAGTGGATTTTCAATGTCATGCATCGGAATTGTCCATATTGACTTCCACAGCTCAAATTTGGAAAGATGATATTTCTGGTTATTAAAATCTATCCTGGAACGACAAGAGATGTGGTCCCTCTAATCTCGCTGTGTTACGTTTCACCGGGTGTTGACATTGCCCGTGCAGACTTTACAAAAATATAATAAATAAATAAATGAATGGCCCGTTATGCCTCTGTATTTGGTTAATAGAAATAGTTTGCTACGTGCTGGCTTTGTGCATGCAGTGATTAAATATTAATGATGCTCCAGTCCACTAGCCACATGTTTATTGGGCGTTTATGTTTCTTTGAAAGCAACCACTCAAAGTGTTTCAAGCAGTCATCTATTGCACTAATCTATCGCGGAGGCTGCTGTAAGCCCTCCTCGAGGGCTGGTTACACGCCGCCAATATATTGGATTTAATTGCGAGGTGGTTATATTAATCAGACGTGGAGTTTATGCAACTAGAATTAAGCACAGCATCAACTGTAAAAGCTCGACGATGGCAATTTACAGCAATAGCTCTGCGGGTTAACGTAGGATTGATCTATATCGATAATAATGCATTGACTTTGCGTTATATGATGGAAAAAAATGTGTTACTTTGAATTCCACGTCTGCCCTAGTAGAGTCTACCATGATTGGCAAGCGCCATTTGTTGCGATGCTCTGCTTGTCCACCGCAGCGAAAAATCTACTCTCCCTCCCTCTTTTGAAGTCGGTCTGAGCACATATTTACATTGTGTAATGTTCAAAGTAGCTCACTCACTCTCTCTCTCTCCTGTGACACGCACGCGCGCGCTTCTCCCATGCTTTGCATTGGGACATCAGCTGCGTTGCTGCCGAGAGCTGAGCATGGTAAGATCGGCCGGGGCCCGTGCGCGCACGTTTGTCGCGCTGTTCTAACATGATAGCCACAGCCGTGTTTGCCCAATGAACATATCTCTGTTTAATATGGGCCGAGTCAATATGGACCACGCTCAAAACACACTCCGGTGTTAATAGGGCCATGGAAACAGAGAGATGAGTTTTTAAGGTGGCTCTTCATATAAACGTAGAAATTGATGAGGTTTTTTTTGTTGTTGTTGTGGTTCTGCTATCGTTATTAACACCCGCATTTTTCATCTTAATTCATGTTTGCTCATTTGTCGGGGCATGGCTTGGCATCCTTTTTAATGAAGCATTTTAATCAGGCAGAGAGGGCATCCTCACTCGAGCAATATCATTCCTCCCCCCTTTTTTTTCACTCATCATTGAATATTGTTTAGTAATGCGCATGCTGCATGTAATTAATAATATTAGAATGTTTCTGAACTGGTAGTAACAATAAGCCATTGCAACTCGATTAAATATACAGTATTCAGTAAAGTGCCATCTATATCAGGCAGTCATGTCAAGCACTTGGTAAATACACCTATGCTACTGGGTGACTATGGTGCCTCTTATTCTTGGTTCTTTCGGTAAAGTCACGTAGAAGGGACATTTTATTGTTTTATATTTATATTATTTTATTATTTCCTTTCTACGTGACTTTACCGAAAGAACCAAGAATATGAATCCCTGCAGTCACGAACGCTTTAAATCAAAATTTATGGTGCCTCTGTTACATGCAATGACATTAAATAAAATCAAAGTACAATATTTCCGTGTAAGGACCAACATTAGTTTTAACTCGCATAACATATCAAGATTTTAAAATCTTGTATAATTATTATAATTTGTAGTCCTTTTAAATCTATTTCTGTAAAAAGGCCTTGCCACATGGTCCCAGACGTCAGTGTAATTTTACCATACTTGAGCGCTGGTCAGAGCAGGTTGTATAAGGGTGATATCTGAACCAGGACCGGTTGATATCATCACTTTCCGCTGATAATGTCTGCTGGCCAGGAAAGCAAATTTCGATGCCAGGTTCATAGTAGAGTTTGCTAACCACTGTGCCAGCACTACTCCTCCCATATATCATCATGGCATATATTCAGCAATAGAAATGATTAATTTGAGGTCAGTGTCTTACCATTCTGTATATATACTTTGTAGCTTTTGAAACACTTTCCTACTTAGGCAAAGTTTGATTTGATGTATTTAATCATTTATTTTCAACACGGTGTAATAGGTGGCATACCAGAGGTCACCGGAGGTCACACCAAGTTCGCTCTCTTGGCTGGGTGTTTGAAACAATGGGGCTAAGTTTCTTACATCTCCCTGCTTCTGCCCATCCAGAAGCATACATGGGTTAAACCACATTTAGTCCATTGGTCGGTTATGCGTGGTGGGGCAAAGCGTGAGTACACCCACCTCTTTTCAAGATGTCTGGCCAATGTGGGAAGCTCTCAAGAGCTTGCTCAAGTAGAGGCCCTTTCCACCAGCAATGGCAAGAGCAAGCAGTTGCAGGGCTGCACCTTTATCCCTTTACCTGTTGAAATGATTGAATTGTGCCGGTGCACACTTATTTTCTAAATTGTTTCTAAAGCTTACGATGATACAAGGAGAGATTTTATTCGTCCTGGGATAACTGGTAATAAACATATACTCTCTACACAGTAAGTTTATTTGAATTCAACTGGAAGGAAATGGAATGTGAATGAGCATTATATGGACGTAATATATAATTATATGCAGCATATTCAAGAACTGTGTACTAATTCATTGTCAACGAGTTGATAATGGTACTGCAATTACAGTAATTACGTTCTATGCTTTCTGATGTTTGTGGACATCAAGAAATCTTATTTCTGACCAACATTACCCACCCATTGTCGCATTGAAAAGCTATAATACCACAACAATATCCAGACATGTAGCACAGGGAGGAGATGAATGTGTTTCTGCTTAAGTTATGCCGCGTTAAGGCCCTTTTTCCCTGAATGAAGTGAAAAATAAAAGATAGGGCTGTTTGTGGCATTTATACGGGCCTTTATAACACTTCCACAGAGCCCTAACTCTTTGTAATAGGCGGCACAGTTGCCTGAACGATAGTTCTCACGGGATGTTGTTAAAGGGGTTCCAGGAATTTCCGGAAAAGGTTAATGACTCTCCTTTTGAGTTGGCTCTTTGGAGGCATGGGAGCTCCCAACTGTGGCGCTCTATTTTATCGCAGCAGGGCAGGCAAGCGATTTTTGTTTTATTCTCCATTATCAGCGATTTGTCCTTTTCCTGCAGTAACATTTCATGAACGGTATATTCAGCTTAAACCAGTTCAACTGAAAGGTTAATGTATGCTCGTGTGTTTTTTTTTCTCCTCTCTCAAAAAATGTCTTTTGCAGAGCTCATCAAACCTAACTTTTGCACAATTAATCCGGTGCACGCTTCGTTGTGTGATCTCGCTCGACAATGCGTGCATAGTGGAGCAGCGATTCTGATGCGTTTCATTTGAATGTTATGTGACAGCTCAAAGGACCTGAAATTCAAACAGTATTCTTTTGTCTCTCTTTCTGCAGGGATACTACCGAACGCACCATTATATCGCCACACAAGGCAAGTCAGAATAATTGAGTTATCTCACAAAACAGATGTATATTGTCAATACAGCATGCTGTATTTCCTCACGAAAGCATCATTTTACAGTGGCCGCCGCGTAGCTTATAAACACAGCCTGCTAATTAAAGCGTCCCCAATAACGTCGTGAATTACAACGCATCAGTTTATCCTGTTGAAACAAGGCCGGCGGTAAATTTGGAATTGTGCGGTTTATTTAAAATGAGCTCTTGTGTTTTTTTTTCCCGAAGCGTCCGTACTGTACTCGTGCAATGGATGTACCTTGTAATGGAAAGTAAGAATAAACAAAACCCCAAAAAAATAATAAAACAACACAGTTTGATTTATATTGGCCGAAAGGCATTGGACCATCGAGCATTGATTTTATTTCCATTGTGCACCCGCGTTCAGGTCCGCTTCCCGACACAGTTGGCGGCTTCTGGAGGATGATCTGGCAGGAACGCAGTGCCAGCATCATAATGGTCACCAATCTGGTGGAAGTGGGCAGGGTAAGCGCATGCATCTCTTTAAAAGGGTATGTAGGCAAACATCTTTGGTCGTCCTAATAGGTCTAATGCTCTGGGGAATAACCTTTCGGTGATGTCCTCTGAGATAGTGTGAGCTGCTGTTTGTTGCACCGAGCAGGGCTACGAGCAGCAATGCATCGACGTCCACGTTTACAAATATTGGCGACGGCCCACTGGAGTTCTCAGCCAGCAGAGACAGAAAAAATATATTTAATCCTTTTTTTTTTTAACAAGGAATCCTGTTGGAAATGAAGTGAGCAGTATAAATCCATATACAATGTGTACATATTTGAGGGAAATCTTACTGTTATTCACAGGATATCCTTTCGTGCCATGAGCTCAAACATATAAATCCCTATGCAATTGATTCTTAAATAAAATTTCTAACACAAGCCTCGGTTCTCGTCAAACCTGTTCGTATCGAGGATCAAACCCAATGTCAGTGCACATCACAAGCCAGGGACACATTCAGCAATCCCTGATACGTCTCATCAGCGAAGCAAACAAACGCACATTGGATAAGGCTTACACGTCTCGAGCTTGCACAGGTCTATTGCACATGCATAGCAAGCAGATTGGTGTAAATCAGTCTGGTGACAGATCCCAGGAAACACATTCTGCATGCTACAGCCTTGTAGCCTTCCATTATAACTCAGTACAAAGATACATATCCCTGTATTGCCTTTATAGACTGTTGGGGCAAGCGCTGTTAGCGAGCACCTATGAAGGCCGGCACGGCACACGAGGGGATTGGGTTGGCCAGGACCATGCCCGGCTACCTTCTCCTCCCCAGTGCTGATGTTTACACACTGCGCCGGGTACTCATTTAAGGCTGAGTCGACCTAGTGGAGGCCCATCAGGACCAGTTCAAATATACCCCGCTGCAATTGATCTTGAGTGGGAATCGAGCTGTGGTTCTTGGGTTTGTAGCACAGCACCCTAACAACTGCATCACATACATAGCGATATGAGCGTAAAAAAGCAGAAATCAAATTTTGCCATGAAGGCTACTGGGACAAGTGCGTTTGGCAAGTATCCATTCATGCCAGCATAGCGCACAAGAGAATATAATAGGACCAGCACCAAACACTGCCACCTTAATCTCACCATTGCCGATGTTCACAAACTACGCCAGGTTTTGGACCAAGATGATTTTGGATAGGTTCAAAAGATAATTGTCACTTGTTTTGTTCGAGGCCAGGCATTAAATTAGAGTCCTTGGGATAGGATGCAGTCTCTCCCTTCTTGAACTGCTGAGTGCTCAACCTGGATGTGTCTCTACTGACCCAAGGTTGTCCAAACCACCTTCAGGTGGCATCTTTGATACGGGCATACAAATTAGACGCGTTAGTGGAGCTAATGTTACTATTTGCATTTCAAGATCTGCTGACATGTTTGAAATGTCGGTGCATTGGAGCCCCAAGGGTTACGGCGGGGGCAATTGTGCGCACGACCGCAGTAATTTTCACAATAGAGCAAAATAAAACTTGAAAACGTTTTTTGCTCTGTCAGGGCCCTGTGATCGTGACACATTGAATGCAAATGACAATTTGCAGCTTCGGATAACGCGAGAGCTACCGAACAGTATTGTCTGGGAAAAAAAAAAATTGCTGCTCCACTTAAAAATTCCTATTGCCGTGCATACCAAAAAAATCATTGCGACTTTTTTCCATTTTATATTTCTATTGAGCATCATATGCACTGCAGAGTTACTCTTGTTGTTTTGGCGCTGAACGGCTCCATGAAAAATTATTGCACAGTCAGACGCATTATGATATATAAAATTTTTCTGGCGGGGGGAGTAAAACAAATGTCTCCAGAACACGTGCTTTAATTTGCAGGCAGCGTGTGACTTTTGCAAGGCACTCAGAAGGACATTGAAGTGGGGCGCTGGGTATATTTAGTAGGAGGTGAATACGTCTGTCGTTTACACGAGCCCAAGCGTGACGTTCGTTGCCTCTGGCTGGGAACATCTGTGGCTTGAGCCACTCCCTACGTTGGTGGGGGCATTGCAACCGCCTCTCCAAGTGACTTGGTCTGCTGGCAATGTGGCTTTAACTATTTGGGGGTGTCTCAAGGGCATGATATCAAATTACGAAATTCTGATGTATCGTACGCTGCTGCACCTAGCGTCGATGACCACAGGCAAGTGGCATGCGAGGTTTTGATCTGAATTGATTCTCTTTCGTTTGAGCTAATATATCAGACTCACTGAAGCAATGCTGAAGATGCCTTTTTGAATTACATTTTGTACCTTGCAGCTATTCTTTAAGTTATTCTGAGCATGGTGCATAAATGGACCATTAATTTCCCGAACACTCACTTTTTACTATTATATATACACAACATTTTTAATTATAGCGATTAGTGCTTTGCACCGTCAACTCTGGCGACGTGAGTTTGCCATGTGGACAATTCGAACCTAAACTATAAACTAAAATTTTGTATTTTACCAGGTAAGGCCACCGACCTATATGGGTCATATTCAGAAGCGACCTGGCAACATAAGGTTGGCTCAACGAAGTGGCTTATCACGTGCAAATTTATAGCAGAAAAATACTCTAAAACGCAACTATTATAAAAGGCCGGCGTTCTGTTCGTCCGTCAACTCATTTATAAGAGAGCATTTCAGAAGGCCTGAATCAAAAAGCTATGGAAAGTGGACCCCCCCCACCACACCCCCAGATATGGGGGTAAAAAGTTGATCCAAAAGGTTTACAAATATTGTGAAATATAGAGTCAGAGTCAGTAGTATCTACATGCCTACACACCCTACACACAATAGAGTCAATAGCATCTACACGCCTACACACCCTACACACCCGCACACAATAGAGTCAGTAGTGTCTACATGCCTACACACCCTACACACAATAGAGCCAGTAGTATCTACATGCCTACACACAATAGAGTCAGTAGTATCTACATGCCTGCACACCCTGCACACAATAGAGTCAGTAGTGTCTACATGCCTACACACCCTACACACAATAGAGTCAGTAGTGTCTACATGCCTACACACCCTACACACAATAGAGTCAGTAGTGTCTGCATGCCTACACACCCTACACACAATAGAGTCAGTAGTGTCTGCATGCCTACACACCCTACACACAATAGTCAGTAGTATCTACATGCCTACACACCCTACACACAATAGTCAGTAGTATCTATATGCCTACACACCCTACACACAATAGAGTCAGTAGTATGTACATGCCTACACACCCTACACACAATAGAGTCAGTAGTGTCTGCATGCCTACACACCCTACACACAACAGAGTCAGTAGTGTCTACACACCCTACACACCCTGCACACAATAGAGTCAGTAGTATCTACACACCCTACACACCCTACACACAATAGCATCAGTAGTATCTACACACCCTACACACAATAGAGTCAGTAGTATCTACACACCCTACACACCCTACACACAATAGAGTCAGTAGTATCTACACACCCTACACACCCTACACACAATAGAGTCAGTAGTATCAACACACCCTACACACCCTACACACAATAGAGTCAGTAGTATCAACACACCCTACACACCCTACACACAATATAGTCAGTAGTATCTACACACCCTACACACCCTACACACAATAGAGTCAGTAGTATCTACACACCCTACACACCCTGCACACAATAGAGTCAGTAGTATCTACACACCCTACACACAATAGAGTCAGTAGTATCAACACACCCTACACACCCTACACACAATATAGTCAGTAGTATCTACACACCCTACACACCCTACACACAATAGAGTCAGTAGTATCTACACACCCTACACACCCTACACACAATAGAGTCAGTAGTATCTACACACCCTACACACCCTGCACACAATAGAGTCAGTAGTATCTACACACCCTACACACCCTACACACAATAGCATCAGTAGTATCTACACACCCTACACACAATAGAGTCAGTAGTATCTACACACCCTACACACCCTACACACAATAGAGTCAGTAGTGTCTACACACCCTACACACCCTGCACACAATATAGTCAGTAGTATCTACACACCCTACACACCCTACACACAATAGCATCAGTAGTATCTACACACCCTACACACAATAGAGTCAGTAGTATCTACACACCCTACACACCCTACACACAATATAGTCAGTAGTATCTACACACCCTACACACAATAGAGTCAGTAGTATCTACACACCCTACACACCCTACACACAATAGCATCAGTAGTATCTACACACCCTACACACAATAGAGTCAGTAGTATCTACACACCCTACACACTCTACACACAATAGAGTCAGTAGTGTCTACACACCCTACACACCCTGCACACAATAAAGTCAGTAGTATCTACACACCCTACACACCCTACACACAATAGCATCAGTAGTATCTACACACCCTACACACAATAGTCAGTAGTATCTACACACCCTACACACAATAGAGTCAGTAGTATCTACACACCCTACACACAATAGAGTCAGTAGTATCTACACACCCTACACACCCTACACACAATAGAGTCAGTAGTATCAACACACCCTACACACCCTACACACAATATAGTCAGTAGTATCTACACACCCTACACACAATAGAGCCAGTAGTATCTACATGCCTACACACCCTACACACAATAGAATCAGTAGTATCTACATGCCTACACACAATAGAGTCAGTAGTATCTACATGCCTACACACCCTGCACACAATAGAGTCAGTAGTGTCTACATGCCTACACACCCTACACACAATAGAGTCAGTAGTGTCTACATGCCTACACACCCTACACACAATAGAGTCAGTAGTGTCTGCATGCCTACACACCCTACACACAATAGTCAGTAGTATCTACATGCCTACACACCCTACACACCCTACACACAATAGCATCAGTAGTATCTACACACCCTACACACAATAGAGTCAGTAGTATCTACACACCCTACACACCCTACACACAATAGAG